GGTCATAGTTGGTTTGAACCAAACCGACCAAATTTCCTTATGAAATTACAGTAAGAGACAAAATATTGAGCTCACCTAACCACCAAACCAATCAATCCTACTATACTATGGCTGTGGCCCAGACTGATAGTATATGATATGGCATCTCGAGTTAACTCAAAGCGACTCTTCACCAATCTATAGACATCTTTACCCACAGCCGGAGTCAAGAATACACACACGACGAAGCGTGAACATAGATTAATAATCATGAGGAATACTAACTCATATCCGCTCACATCACACAGCAATTGACATTTAAAAGCTTGTATAGACACCACCAATTCCATACAGCTCCGTGACCCGTAGTTTGATAATCGCAGCACGTTTGCATCCACGCTCCACTTTAGCACTTGTGAATACACGAAGATCATCGATCTTATTTAGAATAAATAGGCACTTAAAATGAACACACGAGTTAAAGATGAACAAGCAAAGCGAATACATGCAATGCTCCACACGCATTTACACATATACAGACCAGAGGAATGGTTATCCGACTCACCACTCGAACCCACCAATCTTCGAGGTTGCTGAGCCAACACGCACGCATCCAACTACCACGACTGTGGTCCACCTCTGCTCGCCATGATAATTCAGACACAAAAACCAGCTGGCAAACCCAGGAAATCCTGCACTCATTGTCAGGCCGTAATTCAATTGTCCACCATATGCCACAGGCAAGCGCCATACCAGAATCCAATCGTGTTCTTCTTTGCTGTGGATTTTCGGACCCCCCCCACCACCCCAAGTAACACAGCCACACATGCCACGTATTCAAGTGGCCTTTCTAGTTGTGGCCAGCCTAAGACAAGACCTGTGCAATATCATGACTGCTAATCAGGTCATCTTGATATGCACACCTTTGAGTAGGATGGATTATCATCGCCCAAGGAAGTGCTCACATATCACAGATTTTGTTCAGCTTGTGACAGATCTTTGAGCAGAAATGTTATTTTGTGTAAATAGAAAATGTTTTACGATTTTGAGTTCTCTCATAGAAAAATGGGGAAAGCAAAACCAAGTGTTGCATTTATATTTTTGTCCGTGTAGTTACAAGGAAGCCACATGGGGCGCACTCCCTCACACAGGAGATGGTGTCCCAGGCACGTCCAGCTGGGAAGAGACCGGAGGGGACGACGAAGGTAGACCAGTGAGGATTAATATCTCTTCGCTGGCCTGGGAAAGCACGAGCCCTTGGGAATCCCCCAGTCCGACCATCTAAGGTGATGTGGACCCGGGAACAAAGAAAGTTTGGGGCTCTCTGCTGGAACAGCTACCTCCGCGACCCGACCACGGATAAGCGGGAGAAGATGGATGGATGGATGTTTTGGTGTTTATGGCGACACGACATGACCCGTTGAACACATAAAGCAGGTATTTATATCCTCAACACTGAAGGTCAAAGCACGTCATCTGAACTGAACTCACATGGTGTTAATGTCAGGACTGAAAGCTGTCAAAATGATCCGGTTCATGTCAAAGGAAGCTGAATGTCACTCAAAAGAAATGAGTGCCCAAACTCCGCTTTGGATATACGAATGTATTAATTCAATCAGAAGTGGCACTTTAACAATCAGCAACCTGCCCCAGGATGAGAAGAAGCTTAACTATCTGCAGGAAGTGTGAAAAGTAGCAGGGTCATCTTTATTTTTTCATAATAAATATAGACTTTTTTCACATTTTAACAAATACAGTGGACAATTATTATACAGACATGGATCCATGAAAGCACTCATTGGCCATCACCACGATAACAACGCCTCAGAGACGGAGAGAAAGTGTGAGGGACAGAGGAAGAAGTATGGCAGCCATTTTTTCAAAAGTGCCGACATCAACCTGAAGATTAAGCTTCAAATCAGCCCCCTAGATTTCTACCTAATTTATAATACTCATGATAAAAGAGAGGTAAACAACTTCAGTTTTCCCTGCTACAAATGGACAGCCATCGATGTGTCACAGGAAGTACTGATAGAGAGTTGATGGTGTTGTGTCGCCCCCTAGTGTGAGCCAGAGAAATCACTGCCAGGCTTTCAAAGAAAACACCTTGAACCAGTGATGTAAAAAGAGAAAGTGTTTCGTATCACTTCTCCACATTTTTTCTGTTGTTTGTCCCTCATCTCGATCCTTCCCAACATGCTCCAGGGCTTCTTCAGGTACAGAGTGTTCTCTCTCAGAGTGTTTTAGAGAGTCTCAGAGGATCTGCTCGGTGCTGGAGGCGGAGATGTCCAGAAGTCTCCAGGCGGCGTACGGGTTCAGCTCCTCCTGGTCCCGACACAGAGCCCACACGTACATCATCCTGATCACTTTCTCCTGAAAGGGGGGGAAACAGAGGGTACACTTAATCTAGAGTTTATCTATCTATTTGTTGTTTTTATGGTTTGTTTGTTTTTCAATAACAAATGTATTTTTTTAAGCAAAAGAAAATATGTATATTACATTACATGTTACATGTTAGACACTTTTATCCAAAGCAACTTACATACTCAATACTGTGGGCAATCCCCACAGGAGCAATTTGGGGTGAAGTGTCTCAGGGACACAACGACATGCTGACTGCAGTGGGGTTTGAACCTGTCACCCCTGATCCAAACACCAAAGCACAACCCACTGCACCACACACCTCCGTATATATGTTAATAATTTAGTTTTTGGGAGAAGGGGTGGGATTAAATAGACGGTACACTTAATCTAGAGTTTATTTATTTGTTTGTTTATTTATTTGTTGTTTTTATGTTTTTGTTTTGTCCCTGGGGAGGCTGTGGCTCAGTGGCTAGTGTGCTGAACTTCAAAAAGGGGATAGCAAGTTCGAGTCCCACTGCAGTCAGCATGTCGTTGTGTCCCTGAGACACTTTGGATTGATTTTTTTAATCAAAAATGTTGTTAATAATCCAGTTTTTGGGAGAAGGGGTGGGATTAAATAAGTGTAAATGTCTTCCCACCCTTTTTCGGATGTGTAATTAGGTAGATTATTTGTTTATATATAATTTGTAAATCAATAATATTTTTGTTTATCAATTTGACACTGTTTAAGTTTGTATAGTATAATAATTCTCATGTTTCATTTCATTATTCGTTTTTAAATGTTTTATACATTCGAAATAAATCAAATCAAATAATTAAAAAAGAGAGTGTGGGAGAAAAACTCCCTCTGGAGGGAACACAGGGATTGTAGCCTTTGCAGACCATTTAAATGCACTAAACTAAAACCTATATTACACACCACCGGAAAGGGAACGCAGCTTTTCTACAGTATGAAAATGTTATCAAAGCAGTAGGCTACATTGTCTAAAAACAAATCTGTGTTTAAATCGGCAGCAGAGCTAGTAACATAAGCTGTTTGCGACCGGGTTGGCATTATTTCTGATTTAGCCACGCCTGGTCAATACCCAGATGGCCCATTTTTCTACAAACCAAGAACGTTTTTAAGTAGGAACAGATTTAGAGGTCTGACTGCAGGAGACATTCAATGCTTTAGTCCATCAGGGCAGAGCCACAGGACGTCCAGACATTTGGATCCGGATGATAAATCACTACACCCTCCATTAATCCTCTGCAGCAGCCTTTAGTCTGAACACTGGGTGTCTTCACCTTGTACCATCACACTGTCCCTGGAGCTGAGAGGCCTCTACGGTTGATTTATAACAAATCAACCTTTAGTCTAGGTTGTGGATCTAAATGAAGCCCAAATTAAAAGTGGCTTCATTTCCTCATTACCTTCTTTTTGTGCACTATTAATAAGTAGCGACAAAACATCTCCAATTATGACAACACTTTTATCATTTCTAGAACATTACATGCCACAAATATAATTAATTTTGTTCTATTCAAAATATCCTTTGACTTTAATTTCATCATAAAGCAGATTGTAGCAAATTAAAGTGGTGTGTGTGTGTGTGTGTGTGTGTGTGTGTGTGTGTGTGTGTGTGTGTGTGTGTGTGTGTGTGTGTGTGTGTGTGTCAGGGTTTCCGCTCTGATTTTTTCCTCTCCGGTCAAACGTCTGGACAGAATTTATTTTACCGGACACATTTGAAACTTACCGGTCATGTTTCAATAATAATAATAAGAATTGTGTAGCAGAGTTTCCGTTAGCAGGTAATCACCGGACTATGACCGGATATGCTGATGTTTAAAACTCAGTTAATTTAAGGAGTGATTTTTATATTGCTTCAGTTTAAAATTGTAACAGATCGAAAACTTCAGATTCATTTTTCAATAAATGATGCGCTTCCACAAACAACAAACAACATCATTATTACATTCAAACAAACTACTTGTAGTAGATAAAGTACATTATTCAAAAGTTTACATTAACTTTGAATAATAACACGGGAGAAACGGAGAGGATCCGTTTCTCCCGTGTTATTATTCAAAGTTAATGTAAACTTTTGAATAATGTACTTTATCTACTACAAGTAGTTTGTTTGAATGTAATAATGATGTTGTTNCCTTGCGTGTTATGAAGGTTTTTATGCATGTAAACGGTCTGCAGAGTCGAAACCCTCAAAGTACACCCTGTGGCGAGTAAAACTCTAACGGTACGTCCACACAGCAGCTTTAAAAAAATCTTCCAACGCTTCTCTGCCCATTGGCTTTGAATGGGGATGACGTCACTTTGCCTCGCTTTTCGCCGAACTGCATTGTGGGGAAGCCCCATTCAAAGCCAATGGGCAGAGAAGCGTTGGAAGATTTTTTTAAAGCTGCNAATTTTTTTAACTTTTTATGTATAAAAAAAGTTTGAAAACTACAGAAATCAGGAATTATGGCAGACATGAACCTTTTCTTGAACTGACAAAGCTTTGTGATATTAAGAGCCACAAAAGTTCATTGCAATAAGTAATTTGTGAAAACGAAATGTTACTTTGTCTGTTTGAAATTCTAAAATGCTTAAAGGTTGCTAAATTATGAAACAATATAAAAAATAATGTTTTTATTAAGCGCGTGTGTGTGTGTGATGAAATATTTTAATTAATTTAAATCAGTTGAATTTGCAAAAAACAATACAATTACACAAAAATGTCAAAGAACTGGCACAAATGAGTGGATTTATCCGCTGTAACTAATTCAAAATAAACTCAAACTAGGGCCTTTAAAAGGTAGGGTAGGTAAGAATGGAGGAACCAGCTTGTGTGCGCTAGAATTTGAAAGTATGCAGCGGAAAAAAAATCTGCCCCTTCCTTCAGACTTCCTTACAGAGCCCCTCCTCCAACACACACGAACGCGCACATGACCAATGAGGGCACGAGGTAAGTTTGTGCACAGATGGAAGGCTGACAGGCAGGTAGGCCATCCAGTTACTTTAGCCGGGCCGTATAAAATGATTGGTCGTGCTTTTTACAGCGCTACGGCTTCCACAGAGGACATTTTTTTATGGATTTTTTGTCAAAGCATTTAATATATTCATTGCTATCAGGATGTTAAGAGCATTCCTTGGAATATAACAAGTGTTTCTGAAGTGAATTACCTACCCCACCTTTAAATCCTTACCCCGTGCTGTGATGTCAAATGTGTAACTTTTAAATTATAATTTCTTTTTGTTATCTTTAATACTTTTTGTGTGCATGCTTTAGGTAACATGAAGATGTCTTTGGCTCTTTTCTGCTGTAACGATGTAAATGTCCCCTCTGTGGGACTGATAAAGGTTTTCTGATTCTCTCCCACAGCTCCATCCTTATGAGTGCACTCAGACTGACCAGGGGCAGTTTCTCCAGCAGCATGTCCACCATGGCTCCGTCTTTGTACTGCTGGAAGGCCTCTGCTTTCTTGGTCATCTGCTCGGCCTCGGCGCGGCCCTTAGCTTCCACGGCGAACGCCTCGGCCTCTCCCTTCATCTGAAAACAAAATGAACACACAGTTAGAAATACACTACACCTATACAAGTGCAAGCAAGTGTAAATATGCACATTGAGAATTTTATCTCGTTGCACTGTCATCGCTACGACCTCTGCTTTTACCACTCTTATTTATTTATTTGTGTCTATGTTTTACTGCAGTGAGGGTTGCCAAAGAAATGTCGTTGTTCTTTGTATGATGACAATAAAGATGATATTATATTCAAGAGATCACAGCATTAGTTTAGAGGAGTACATGATCTGGAAGTCATAATGTTGGGGTAATGTGAGCAGACAGGAAGGGAGGAGTGCTTTAAGGAAACATGCAGCAGGACTCACTTTAATGGACTCTGCCTCGGCCTCAGCCTCCATGATGAGCTGCAGACTGGAGAGAGGAGAGATTACAAATTGTGTTAGTGTGATATTTATTTGCTCACCTTAGTGGTTCTGTAGGAGCCAACATGCTACTGACTTCATTGTGTGTATTATTATTATTATTTGTTTAAGACACTTGTATTTGTATTTCAATGCAATGTAATGTATTTGTTGAGCACTTCCCGCAATCGTCACATGGTCGTGGTTTGTGTATGTAGGTCACCAGTTTCATGTCGGGGGGCGGATGACAGACTGTGACCTTGTGCTGACATTGTTTCTGTTTACCGTCTTTGTCCCCTACTCTGTTTTGATTTTGGTTATGAAATATCTTCAACCAATTTTCCTTCTGTATGCACTTTCTCATTGGAAACGTGTCGCAGCTTATAGCCAAGCTCTCTGCCACTCAAACTGAACGGGGAATTGAGCCGCCTCAGGTCCTGCTCAGGTGTTGGATGCAGATAACTTCATAGATGTTTAGCTCTCATCAGATCTACACCAGGCAGCGCTGCGTCACTCACCGGTTTGCCTCGGCCAGCCTCTCCAGTCGGTATTTCTCTGCTTCTGCGGGCTTCTTCACCTTGGCCTCCAGCTCCTTCTCCTTGCGGGTGATCTCCTGCTCCTGCAGAGTGATTTGCTGCGTCCTCTCCACCACCTGAATCTGCATCGTCTCCTCCTCAATGCGCTGCTTGGTCTTGGCCACCTGAACAGAGAAGTATATGAAACATTAGATTCCACTCAGCCTTGAACCACTGAAAATTAATACGGTATTACCCCCAACTAACGTCGCAACAGCATTTAGAAAAACTTGTCCATGCTTTTATTTTCAGTAGACTCGACTACTGCAATAGTGTATTCACAGGGCTCACCAAACAAATCTATCAGAAAGCTGCAGCCGATTCAGAACGCTGCTGCTCGACGCCTCACTGACACCAGAAAAGTGGATCACATCACTCCGGTTCTGAGATCATTACACTGGCTTCCAGTCGGCCAAAGAATTGATTTTATTATGCCCCAACAATCTGGAACAAACAATCTGGAACAAACTTCCCAAATCGTGCACGTCCGCTGAAACACTTCCTATTTTCAAATCCAGACTAAAAACGCATCAATTTGCCGCTGCTTTTAATTGAGCTGCTCACACTCACACTACAGTATGCCTTTTAGTCATGTATTCTGTACCTGCTGTGTGTATTTTTTTTTTCATTATCTTTGCTTTTTATGCATGTTTTTAAATGCTGTATTTGTTCTTAAATGTCTTTTGTTTTGTAAAGCACTTCGAAAAGCCACGTGCTGAAAAGTTCTATATAAATGAAATTGCCTTGCCTATAGAGAGGCGCCTCCCCATTACCTCCAATCTGAATTGTTCCTTCTTGAACTCAACCAGCCAGCTTAATAACGTGTGGACAGCTGACCAGACAAAATGTCACCAGTATAAAAACGAAGTTAGCTTGAGATCAGAGCAGTAACTGTACCTGAAGCTGATAGGCCATCTCTGACTCGGCCTTCTTGGTGTTGACCTCCACATCGTAGGCTGCCTTTTTTAGCTCGTAGTCTCTCTGGGCTTTCGCCATCTCAATCTCGTTCTTGTACTGAGCGGAGACCTTCTCCTGCATGGCGTGGGCCTCCTGTGGAGAGAACGCAGCACGACAGAATATGAGGAATTGTGGTATGTATTTTCTTTATATTATGAATATGAGCACAGAGGTGATTTTACCCTCATGACAGAGTCTCGTTTGTACTGAGCCTCTCCGATCCTGGCATCCTTCTGAACCTGCGCTGTCCTGGCTTTACCCAGAGAGTGAAGGTAGTCCTGAGAGAAGGAAAGAGACAGAGAGGGAGTCAAAAGGAAGGGAAGGCATTAAAAACACAAGATGGCATGGTAACCACAGAAGCACTTAGACGTCATTTGCTAATGTAGAGCAGCTGGGTGTCTGTTGAGAGACTAAAAGCTTGTCTCGCAGCGAGGATTCAGATTTCTTCTGCTCCATTAATTTGTGTTTTAAATCATCAGATTTTTGTCATTATCATTAGCAGAAAATGAACCCCAGACGTACCTGATCGTCGTGAACGTCTTTGAGCGTGTAGCTCACGACTCCAATCCCCATGTTGACCAGGTCAGAGGAGGCCACCTTGAAGACCTGCTCGGAGAACTTCTTGCGGTCCTGGTAGATCTCCTGCACACAGAGAGAGATTCATAGCTGTATATGAGCATTCACTCAGTGAGTCATGAACAGAAAGCTTTGATGGGCGGATATCGTGAAGCAGATGCATCTGATGGAGCGAGTGCACCAACCTCCACAGTCAGATGGGCGATGATGGCTCTCTGGTGTCCCTCCAGGGTTTCTAGTGCAATGGTGGAAATCTCCGCCTCAGACTTGCCCATAAACATTTGGCAGGCGGTGGCCAACATCTCCTTGTTCTGGCCCTGGATCTTCACCTGGAAAAGGATACCAAAAGAAATATGTGAAAAATAAATAGCTGGTTGGAGACGAACATTATCTTAATTTAAATGTATTGTTTAGTCCGTAACAAGAAATGTTGACGATTCATACATGTTATTTTCATATGGTCTCAAGGACTCTGTCGATTCAGCATGGGACCTTTTTCAAGTGTCCTTTTCCTTTCCCTTGTTTACGAATAGTAAATATTTGTCAAACTGAATTGTATATGTGCAGGCTCTGGGTTTATTTATAGTGCTGTCTTGTGCTCTGGCACTAGTTTCATGTAATGAAATAAAAAATGTGATACATGTTCCCTTATTTTATAAATATTTAATGAATCAGTCATACAGAGAGCAGCAGGCCTGTATCTGCAATTATTCAGCTTTTGCTTTTAATAACAGCTGATCAACCTTCCTGTCTTCCAATGTCCATGCACAATAGATTAAGATAACCTATTTGTGGAAACATGCACAGCTGTTTGACTCCGTTAATTAAAAGCCTTATGGAGTTTTTATACTGAAAGCATACCTGTGCAATGCCAGTGACAGAGATAGGGACCCCATGACGGGTGTAGACTTTGTCACTCTTCACATTAAGAGTCAGAGTGTTCAGTGCAATCCTGAGAAGAAGGGAGACATAATAAATGAAAGGGTGAGATATAATAACAGAGAAAAATGCAGAGCGAAAGGAAATTAAGTCAATTATCAACAGCAGAAAACACTTCCAGATTCAGAAACCACATCAGTAAAACATTTCTTTTCTCACAAGTATCATTTCCCCTTTTCCATTGACTAATAAATAAAACCAGACAGCTGGTCTAAAGTTGAAACAGAAAAGAGAAATAGAGAAAAAGGATCACCTCTGGATCTTCTGAATACATGGGAGGACGAACACTCTTCCTCCAGCAATCATTAAAGGAGGAGAACGGCCAAAGCCTGGAGAGGGGGGGAACACATTTCATACACAGAACTCTACCATTCAGTAATATACTTATAGAGTAACTGGGTCACAGTCCAACCAGCAACCCTGATTACAACAAGAACAAGATGCTATTGATTCATTACAGCTGGTTGTTATAGGTAACAGCAAGCAGAAACATTCTTAGTTTATTTTGTTGACTATTGCTCAATATCCAGGCATGTGATAATTACATCACATGACACATGTCCACTGTTTACTAAACTTGTCTCTTACATGTCACAAAGTGCAGTGACCTTTAGTGTTACATCATTATGGAATATGTATTGTTTCATTATCCAACTCTTCTAAACATCCTGTGTGATTCTTAGACATGACCATGCATCCTTGAGATGTAGGAAAACGAAATCTTACCGGACACCACCATGGCTTCATTGGGTCCACATGTGTAAAACATCTTGGTATCTGATTATCCGCAAACAAATGAAAACAAGATATTGTCAAAGTATGAACATTACTACATGTGAAGCCGACAATTGAGCGGCCCGACCAAGCAAGGAGGCAGAGGCAGAACGTCCAAAAAAATTACTCGGTGTTGGCATTTATTAAAGGTCCCATGTCATGCTTTTCCGGTTATTACCCGTCCCCTTGCGTGT